CAAGAGCTGGTACCGGCAAGGCATGCATGCACTTGTTCCACGCTGGCGTAAAACCGTACAAGTTGATGGGGACTATGTGGAAAAATAGTATGTGTAAAGGAAACATTGATTTATATTGTCACTAAATTTCAGCCATCTTGAATAAATATGTTCTGAGAAAAAAAATGTGGGGCATTACTTAATGAGCGACCCTCGTATTATTGGAACAAAAGTGCTGGGTTAAAGCAATTAATAACTTTCATAAATAAACATGTTGATATTAATTGGGATTATATACCTTCAATTTTATGAACCACAACTTCTAACAATTTGTGTATTACCTGTAATATACGGATGGTCTAATATTTTGATTATTGCGATCAGAAATTTGTGCCACTAAATTGTGTTGGTATTTTAACGTTTATATCTTATTTTAATAGGATTACATTTTTCGAGGTATATTATGCTTTAATACCTCAAAAGAAATGTGATTTTAATATAAAATATGTGTTAGATAAGACGTCATCAAAAAATCATCAAAACTCAAATTTGTCTGAAAAATTTCATTGTATCATATATAATCTCACATATCTTCGTAACTAAGATATTCTCAAACGTTTCATGTGCTCGTTGTTTGGTTCTGTTCGTTGATACAGAATTGTGAGTTCTTTAGAGCTGAAAACGAGTAGATTGACAACACACTAATTTGCCTGTATCTTAAATAATAATAAACGCAAAAAAGTTTCTCATTAAAAAAATGTATATGTAACCCTAATGTATATGTTTATAAAAATTTTAAACAATTCCCGTCCACATTATGATAGTCCAATTCAGACTTTTTTTTTGGATGATCTGAAATATACGGGTGGACAAATGTTAGAATTTTGCGTTGTGAGCTGTGCCACAAAAAAATTTGTATTTTTACGTTTGAATGTAATTTTGAAAGGATAACAGTGCTCGAGGTACTTCATGCTTGATTAGCTCAAATGAATTATGTTTTTAATATAAAACATGTATATGATAAGACGTCTTCAAACAACCATCAAAACTCAAGTCTGTCTATAGATAACATTGCATCGAATATATATTAACACACATCTTTATTTCTGCGATAATCCCCGACGAACTCTGTGGTTGCTGCACACCGATGTTCGTTGGTACAGAATTGATTGCTATTGAGAGGTGAAAACA